AGCTGTTTCATTGATTCTTTCCAGTAGAGAAGATGGTTTTGCTAATCCTGGCTTCTAACTCTATTAAAACGTTTTCCTCTCTCTAGCACCTTCTTTCCTAGAAGCCCACAGCCTCTTCTTTAGGAGGCAGAGCTTGAATCATCCCAGGCCTGCTTGACACCCTCCAGGGCTTCGGCACTCCATTTGTAAAGCTTTTTCTTGTCTTATTCGTATGCCACTCTGGATGTGTTTCTTTCGTTACTTAATTGAGTGTCTCCTAAATAAACTGAGTATATCTTAAGAGCAGAGAAACTTCTTCCAAATTTTCTTCTATTTTCCAACTGTGTACATCACAGAGCATGCTAATGTAAAACCCGTGCTCAGAGGATGTTGTGATTGACAGCATAGATACCTCAATTCATGGTGCTCAATTTCTACTGAATTATGAAATGCAGTCTCATAATATTTAATGAATCCCGGGAAAGTGTAAACTTTCCATTTCCCGTATTCAGTTCCACTTATGTGCTTACTCTATAGAACTCACAAGTACTTGCTAAGTGGTAAAGAATACTGATTGACACTTGTTATGTGTGAAGCATTTTTGCATGAAGACATATATACCATGGAAATGCCTGCTTTTTATTTCTGTCAGTAGATAGTCATTTTTCTCTCTTGTTTTCATGTCCATATTAATGTTAATTATTCTAGAATGTGAGTCCCGAGAAAACGTCACTGTGTCTCTTCAGCTTCTGTAAGGTACCTTACACAAAGCTGAGCATAAATGATTACTTAATATCATAACGTTGCTTGACGATAAGATGCAAAACCAGTCTCAGCTGAGGAACTCAGTCTTCTGAAGTTATCAAATTCCATACCATGAGACGCCATCTACTAAAAGGAAAAAACAGAAGAACAAAAGCACATAGTTAAGATGTGTAAATTGTTCTTCAGTGAAGGAGGTTTGTGTATATAATTGAGTTTAGTTGTTTTTGTTTATAGAGCTCCTGTAATTTCCCTGTGCCGGATTCTGAGTCAAAAGATAACTATCAAAGTGCTTAGGCAACAGCTGTTCTGAGTCCTTCAGGGCAGGAATTCTGAGCCCAGGGCTGTGCCTGCTCTTGTTGTGAAATGACTCTCTGACATAAAACCCTGCCTTCTTCCACAGAGCTATTGTAGTGACTGTCCTTGTAAAAACAAGTGTTAACCACCAGGTCTATTTAACAGATATCCTGAAGGAGAAAATAACCCGTTAAGACCTATGGTGCTTCATGAACTCTTCTCTGAAGAATTCCTGGCATTGGATTCTGTGTTACTGAACACATTTCTAAACCTCTCTGTGTACTTCCTTCTTTATAAAACAAGAGCAATACTTGAGGTAGTCTTGGTATTTTCTGTGATGCTGGTCGGTTAGTCAACTCTAAAATATTTAATAAACCCTAAGTGATATGGCTGTATATTATAAAACTTTCTACTCATCCCAGCCATTCTTCTAATTTTTCCATCATTTGGAAAAAATGGGTTACTATGCAGTAAAAACAAATAATATCCAAAAATATAATTTGTAAAACAATGATGAGGACTCATTTTACCTGACTTTAAAACATATTTAAAGTTGACAGTTAAAAAAACTGTATAGTATTTTGCTAAAGAAAAGATGATCAATTGATATGGAATAACAGAGATTCCAGAAAAAAGCTATTTTAATCATGTCAAAGACATAGCAGAAATAACAGAATGATGGGGAAAAGTAGCATTTGTCAAGTATTTATCTTGGTATAAAGAAGAATCTGTACTCTGTGTACAAATGCAGAAGGTATAGCAACGGAAAGAGAAACAGAATGTAAGAAAAATAACGTACACCACTGTCTTGAAATTACTTAAAATGGATACAAATATATTAGATGAATATACTAATTCCATTTGATGTTCATGCAAGGAAGATGAATGCTTGGGGAAATCTTAAATCATTTTATAGGAAAACGTGCTGCCTCTTAGCATTAAAATAAGTTAAAATGTTTAAGCATTCTCTGATAAAGGTAATAAAATCAGATTTTTTTTCTGATGAAGAAGCGCAATGTTATGGATGGCATTGTCATTGTTTCAGGTGCAGAGCATAATCTGTCAATGTGTTTGAATCGTGATGCTGCTGTTACTGACGATGAGATTGACAGGAGTGGTGGTAATGTTGGGTGCCGAGGCTGTGCTGAGTGGGTGGGGGAAGTGGACGTTTAGAGGAGCTTGCTGTCTCCTCCACGTGTATCTGTTGATCAGACACGTCACTGAGCACGTCGCACAAGCCCCGCAGTCTCCAGCCCACCTTCTGAGTTTCATTGTTTGACATTTCCTCCAAAAGCCATTTTCCTACAGACCATATTCATTTTTTAAAAATTAAGGACTCTTTTTTCATATTCATTTTTTACTCTACTTTTGTAAATGTTTCCCCCCATACCCTGAATGACTTTTCTTCTCCTGGCAGGTGGATTCATATTCATCCTTTGAAATTTTGTTCAAATCTCATCTTGCCCGTGTCCCTTGGTCCCTGTGGCCCCTTGAACATACAAGGCTGGCAGCTCTACCAAGAAGTCTGCCGCTTCCTTGACGGCAGGGGCTGTGTCCCAGCCATCTTTCTACAGAGTGTGTGTGGAATGAGTGAATAAAAAAACAAAGGAAAGTCCTAGTATCAATATTATTTGCTAGCTTTTTTATTAAATTCTGTTAAACTGAACCTTGTCACATTGACTCGGTATTAAACTTATTTAACAACAATCCAATTGTATAACTCCCAGCAATTGGATAAAATGGGGTACGTAGTTACTACCAGGCTACTTTATTTTGGAGCAGGGTTTTGTTGGGGTTTGTACTTGTCTCATTGCTTATTTGCTGTAAAATGAGACCTTTAGTGGGGTCACTGTCAGGTTCTTCTTAGTGCTTATAAAGATGCTGAAGGAGGTACATTTATCAGCTCTTGAGGCCAAGATGCCATTAATGAACTCTTCTCTACTATTAATATTCTTAAGAGAAAATATGCTTAAGGACCTATCTTATTCTCAGGAAGTAAGTTTTTTTGTCAACTCTTGGGACCCAGAAATGAAAAATTTCCCCTTGTGCAAATTATTCATCAATATAATAATCTTCATGCAAAAATTAATGCTTTAAGACAGAATGAATTTAGATTGGAGACTATATGATGTTTGTGTTGGATAGATAGAGGTTTTGCTGCAGATGACAGAGCTCACACTTGATAAGATGGAAATTTCTTTCTCTCTTGTGTACTTGTCTGGATGTAGCAAGCCCAGATCCATCCAGCATGATGCCTCTGTTCTACCTGGGCATTTGGGATTTGATGTGGCGTCCCACGGTGCTGGGATTCAGGCACTTTGTCTCTCATTGCTTTATTAAAAATAAAATATTTAAATTTTATTAATATTTGTTAATTTTCTTTTTATTTTATTTATTGATTATTATAGAATGACTATCTGATCAGCAGTTATGCTTGATAAGAAGTAGAAGTCATGGTTTATTTATAGTATTTTATGGGTTTGGCATGGCAAAATTGTTTGACAAATACATATATGGTTAATTAATGGAAATTAATAAATAATAATAATAATAATAATTAATCGGGGCAGGGTTGTTAGTGTACAACTATTTACAGGACCCTTGTGGTGTGAGTTGTGGGGCTCACCGTCCGGGTGGGATGGGAAGCAAGGGAGGGACAAGTGAAGTGCTTCTGAGCCGTGAGGACCAAGAGTTCATTCCAGCATGGGTTGAAGGGCTGCCCTTGAAGGATGAGTAGAGTTTCAATAATAGGAAATGGAGGAGGGCGACGAGGAGCATGGAGTGGCATTGAGGGCAGGTGGGTGGAAAGCCCTGGCATGGCAGGCTGCCAGCATCTGGTTGTCTCGTATGTAGCTCTTCACTGATGATTTGTGGACCCCACTGTGCCTTAGGAGTGAGGTTGGAGGAACGATGTTTGTGAGCAAGGCAGGGGGAGTGGTGTGGGTGTTGCCTTTCTCCTGGTCCTTTTTTTTTCCTGATAGGATGACAGACCAGAGTTTTACTTGGATAACACTTTGACAAAACTTCGTTGATTTGTTAATTTACGTTATTCAAGATGTTTCAGCGAGCTATACTAATCTTTAATACCTGGTACATATGACTCATGTCTAGATGAAATCATCTGTGTATTTTGAGTTAGGCACAATAGCGACAGTATTTGTAAATGTGTGACTTTTTTTTTTTATTTTTTTATTTTTTTATTTTTATTTTTTTTTATTTTTATTTATTTTTTTTTTTAAATTTTTTGTTTATTGCAGTAACATTGGTTTATAACATTGTAAAATTTCAGGTGTACATCATTGTACTTCTATTTCTGCATAGATTACATCATGTTCACCACCAAAATACTAATTACAACCCATCACCACACACATGTACCCAATTATCCCTTTCACCCTAAATGTGTGACTTTTAAAGGGGACATCAACTCTTAGTATTCACAAAGGGCCTGGCTCTAAGTGCTTTCTGAAGTTAAAAGGTTGTGCTGTTTCATTTTCTGGTCACATTCTGCTGATACATCATTTACAGAAAGTTCCAATTCCTGCTGAAGAGCAGAGCGCTGACATGATTTTTCACTTAGGTGTGCAGAAAGAATTGGTTAACTTTGTGCACAAAATAGGCTGAAATCAAGCTTTAAATTAGTCAGACTTTTGCATAATTCATCATGATCACTTTGAAAGTCCAGCTGAATACGCTCTTGACTTTTATCACAATGGGTTCATTTTAAAGGACTGGTTGTCTTTTATTAGTTCCTTTCTGCTCAGATATGGAGGTTTTCCAAGTAAAGCCGTGACAGTGCGCCTAGTCTCCTTCTAAAGAAATGAATTGTTACATAAGGAGCCATAAAGAAATGAATCAGTCCATAAAAAAGTTCTTATTAAATGTTTTTCTTGATATCAATATAATCAGCTTTGAAGACAGGAAAGTAAGCTAAGGTTCTCTCTGTCTTTTTGAATCCATAGGCTGTCCATCTGGCCCAGGCAAGCTTCCAGATTGAAGCCTTCAGCTCCAAATTCATTCTTGACCTCACACTGAACAAGTAAGTATTTAGTCACAGTCCTGTTAAGAGGCAAGTGCAATATAACTTTATTTCATGACAATGGTTTAGTCAAAATAATGTCTGCTTTTAAAGCAACTGATATTTTCTAGCTGATTATACGTCATATAACACTTAAAGAAAAATATAAAAGTAAGTTAATGCTGTCTTTTCTCTTTTCCTAAAAGAAATGGCATTCAACATTTAACTTAAATATCTCAAATACAGTACTTAGATATTATGATTTTATTTATTTATTTATTTTTGTGAGGAAGATCAGCCCTGAGCTAACATCCATGCTAATCCTCCTCTTTTTGCCGAGGAAGACTGGCTCTGAGCTAACATCTATTGCCAGTCCTCCTCCTTTTCTTTCCCCAAAGCCCCAGTAGATAGTTGTATGTCGTAGTTGCACATCCTTCTAGTTGCTGTATGTGGGATGCGGCCCCAGCATGGCCGGAGAAGTGGTGCGTCGGTGCGCGCCCAGGATCCGAACCCGGGCCACCAGTACTGGAGCACGTGTACTTAACCGCTAAGCCACGGGGCCGGCCCCAGATATTATGATTTTAAATGGAATAAATATTTGAAGTAATACTAGTTAATTAAATGTTAACTGTAATCGTTACTATATATAGGAAGCATGATAAATTACTGACTCAAGTATAATTAGACTTCAGTCTAGAAATTTCTTCCATTTTATCTTTTATTATGCAATTCACATGGCTTCTGTATAAAGAATAAAGAAAATGATGACTTGCAAATACCTATTTTGCGAAGGTTCTTTGCTTTCTAATTTGCTCTCATACAGTTTCTTAGAAATTTTGGTCCTGATGAAAATTTACCCAATTTTTCTCTGAGCATGTGCTTACTTTGATGTTTAAATGCTATTTCCCAAGTTGGAACCAGTTGTACAGATGTCTGTGCAAAACACGAGCAAGAGCTATTGACTTAAGTGGGGCTCTTCAGCCTCGACTTGAGCCCGCAGTGAGCCTTTCTCTGGTGAAAGAGATTTCTGGTGTGGTTTTCTTTAGTTTACCATGCTCCGGTCAGTATTGTAGACTCTCATCAGTCTTTGACCAGGACTGTGTCTTTCCCAGAAAAAGACCACGGAATGCTGTCAGACACCATAATGTAGGTGACTTCAGTCAGTATCTGAGAAATTGCAAAGGACTGTAAAGAGCAACTATTAAATTTCTTGTATGCCAAATTCTGTGAGCTCTGCAGAAAAAACATGCAGAGTCAGCTCAGGTGCTCCTTCCTCAAGTGTTATTGCAGCTTTAAGTCAGAATGAATCAGCAGAACCCAGAGGTTTCGGTGTTAAAGGTGTTGCAGGTTTTTCTCTCCTAGTCGGCTGGGCATTGACTGAGTCTTTCTTCACCATGCTGTGTTAGCATTGTGCCTGTCTGAGAGATTTGTCTTGCCACATCTTAGGCTATGTCAAATAGGGAGGTATGGCGAATTTTAGTTTGTTTAGGTCTCCTATTCCTTTAACTCTTGCTGCAGTGGAGACTGTCATTCCAGACTGTAGCGTGATGATAACAACCAACACTGTTATGTGTTTTGATTGGTTAAACATCACGGCCACAGAAGAACCTCCCAATCACCTGGCTGAGAAGGGGTCATATGGGGTGTCCAGGGTGCTTAGAGGTCTGGGAGCCCATCAGAAGATTATTTACCCTAACATTTAACATCCTCATCCATGGTAGGTTGAGCACCTACAAAAGCAGCCCTTGCCTTGAGGAGTTTATCATCTAGTTGAGAGAGGTTGATAGATAAATGTATAATTTTAGAACAGTGTGAAGTTTGCTGTGCTGGAGAGAAACATGGAATGCTATGGTAGCACCAAAGAGAGGCAGCTCTTCCAGCTGGAGGAGTGTGAAAAGGCATCTTGGAAAAGGTGATGCTTGAGCTAAATCTTGCACAAGTGTTAGTAAGGAAAGGAAGTGTCGAGATGGATGGGAGAGAGAGAGAAAATGGAGAATTGTGTTCTAGACAGAGGAGCTCGTGTGTTCTAAGGAGGCAGGGCCTGGTAGCCGTGCAGCATGTTAAGGGAGCATGAGTCTTTTGTTGAACTTCATGGTAAATTACAAGGTTGACGCAGGGAGAGATGAGTCAGGAGAGGTGGGCCCAGGGACAGCTCAACCCATGGAAGATCTTGTGTGTCATGCTCAGGTACTTGGCCATTATCCCCCAGACTGTGAAAAATGAAGTAAAGAGAATAGACAGAGGTTCTGTTCTCAGGAAGTGCTAAGAGACAGGAGAGGGAATGCTTTCAAGAATTCTTCAGGTGATTAAAAATCATGAGGATTGCCTTGATGTGGATGACAAGGCAGAAGGAAGAGTTAAAGTTAACAAGTGCCTTGGCTGGATAGCTGGTGGGAGGTGGTATCCAGCAGAAGTGGGCAGCACAGGGAAGAAACAGGTTAAATGGTGAAGAGAAGAGAATGTGAAATCAGAGTAGACATAATTGATTTGAGGGGCTTTGGGACGTACATGAGGCCATGTCTAGGAGGTCGGTGGATATAACGGTCTGAAGTTCGGGGAAGAGGTGGGGCTGGAGTTAGTAGACTTGAGAGTCATTTCCATATAAACGTTAATGACAAACATGGTTGTGAGTGAGATTGCCCAGGGTGTGTGGGTAGAGTAAGGAGAACATAAGCTGGGAAGGTGAGAGTTGAGGAGGAAGAGGAGCCCATGAAGGGACAGAGAATGAGTGATCAGAGAAGTGGGAGGAGAATCAGGAGAATGATTAAATAGAGAGTTTCAAAACAGAGAGATGTGATAAGTAGCCTCACATGCGGTGCAATGATCTAGTGAGATAAGGAGAGAGATTGCCCGTAGGATATGCCAATCAAGTGCCACTGGTGGTCTGAAGGCAGCAGTTTCAGGAGAGCACTGGGGGCAGAAACCAGGTTACAGTGGTTGGGAGTGAATGAAAGGAGATGATGTGGAGACAGCAAAGTTTGAGGGAAGTTTGAGAAGGAAAGAGAGCTCGAGTAGTATCTAGAAAAAGACATGGAGGTCAAGGGAGGGCTTTGTAGGGAATAACAGAGCAAGCTGGTAGGCTGAGAGATGGAGCTGATAAGAGTGAGAGGGTGAAGATTACAGAAGAGAGAGGAGACAGTTTATGGAGCAAGATCTGGGTGAAGACAGACGGGAGAGAGCACCGGGCAGAATTTAGTTCTGAACCAGGAGAGACAGTTCATTCCTGACTGGTGTGAAGGTGTCAGGGTGTGTCAGGCAGGGATTGGTTTGCAGGTGAAGGGATGGAGTTGAGGACATGCGTCTCTGAAGATTCCCTTCTCCTTCGAGACAGCATTATCTGTCGTAGGAATTGGGATGGAGAGGGAGGGGAGGTTGGAGCTTGAGGAAAATGACAAAAGTTTAGACCACTTGCTGAGAGGAACAGATAAGGAAGCTCACCAAGGTCATGTTAAAGAATTTATGAGCAACCTTCATGAGAAATCGTGTGTTGTGTGGTAGTCTTTGTGTCACTCTTCCTGATGATTTTTTGTGTTTAACTGGAGTGGCCATCACTGCAGTGTATGAGGGGAGGCTGCAGACTGGTGTGTGGACCAAGGTTCCATTATTCTGGTGGTAGCACAGAGTAAGAACGGTGCGGGCAGAGCTCCTGAATACTGGTTGGTAAGTTGGGTAGTTAAGTATCATGATCCAATCTGGGAAAGAAAGGAGATGAGGTCAAGAGGAGGCTTCAGGGCTGGGAGAAAGTGGAGATCTCTGAAGGGAAAAGTAGACGCAGTGGGAGGGAGGCCGAGAGAGCTGTACTTGTGAGGTATCTCCCCCATGCAGAGTCCCGAGCTTTCTGAGCTCAACGTGAGTGTGCGATACTGGTGTGACCTGGAGACAAGGGAATTGTGACCGAGTATGACATGCGTTGGCTGAGGTGGGTCTCTAGTGTAAACGACTTTTAATGGCTGGGATTAACTAAAAATTAACTAAATTAACTAAAAAGTCTGATCCATGTTAGCATAAATTTAAGGAGTCAAGAATTTTTGAGTCAAGAGGACGCAAGTTAAGTTAGTCATAAATTTAGAGTCAAGAGAATTTTTAAATCAGTCTTGGAGGAACCAAAAGAGCTTCTGAGCAAAGAGGGATCTCATTTCCACCCCAGGGTGGTCACTGCCACACTATTTACAACAATTTTAAATCATTAGAGGAGGGAAAAGGCAAAAGGTATATGATAACAATGTGGGCTCAGTGAAGGAATGAGAGCATAAAGACGGTAAACTAAACTAATCCAAGCGGTGGCTGTAGAATCGAAGTGGTTCATGACCCTGTGAGGCCTGGAATGCCAGCTTGTGAAAACCACCTGATGTGAGTTCCTGGGAGGAGAGCTTTTTTGAGTCTGGGCTTTCATAGATTGAACAAGCGAGGCCTTGGCTTGCCGAGGCATCTCATGGCAGAGGTGTGTTTATTCATTTGTTCAGCAGATGTTGAGTGAGCGTCTGTTCCATGCCTGTGACTGCTGTAGGTGCTGATGCATCGTGGAGTAAGACAGAAAAAGTCCCTGCCTACCCTGTGGACCTTCATTCCAGGGGAAGAGGCAGACAGTGAAGCACTAAATAAAGACATCGAAGAATATGTAACTGGGCTGTGTGATGGAGAGGGACTGCAGGTGGGGTGGCCAATGTGATTTAGATGGTCACAGAAGCCAGAAAGTCTGTCTGAGGAGGGACATTGAGCTGAGACCTGATTGTCAAAGATGAGCTGCCACATGAAGCTGGGAGGCTGAGGGCTCATGGCTGGGACAGTAAGACAGCAAGTGCTGAGGAGAATGTGGAATGTTCAAGAAGGACAGAAGCTGGTGTGACTGGAGTGCAGTGGAGGGCAGGAGATAATGGGAGACTGAGGAGACCACATCAGAGAGAAAGCCACGTAGCCAGGTCATGAAAGGCCGTCGTCCATGGTGAAGGGCTTGAGCAGGAAGCCATTGGAGGGCAGTAAGCATGGACGTAACCCAATCCGATTTACATTTAATTTCACCC